AAACGATAGCAATCGTTTGTAAACGATAGAAAATGATAGGAAACGATTTCTATCATTTGTAAACGATAATAAAAAAAACCGATAATTATCGATCGATCAACAATCGATAATAATCGGTGGAGGTGTTGGTAATCGATTGCCAATGAATATGGTTAGCAATCGATTTTCAACCGTATCAGAAATTTGCTGATGATTATATATTACTAAAATTATAACTTTTTAGATTTTTTGTTATAAATTTTGATATTTATATCTGTATGATATGAATTATATAGAGAATTAATTCACATTTTTGTTCACTATTACAAAGACCAGGAAAAATTTGTTTAATATTATTAGCTTCTAAACTACAGTCAAATTTTTCTATAATTATATCTATTTATAGTCACATCTCTCTATAATCACCTTATTTTGCTTTTCTATTTATATATAAACATAATAAAAAAATTTCTTTATAGTCATCAAATTTTGCTTTTCCAAGAATGATAACTATAAAATGTTTGATTCAGAAGAAAATATTAAGAAATTCAGCAAGAATATTTATTTTAAAAGATCTATAATACTTTGATTATAATTTTACTATTTTTATTATTTAGAAAAAAATATACGCTAATATCTTAATATTTACATTAAAGATGAGATTGCAATTAAATTGTAATTAAATCATAATTTTCTGATTGAATATCACAAGTTATAATTAATTGAAATGTCATTTTTAATTTGTATTCATTATAAATATACAAAGTAAAAAGATATCAATTATACTTGTTGATTTTATGTATGGAGTTCATTAAAGTTAGTTATCCATAATATCAAAGTTTTTCAAGTTATTCAAAATATATAAAAATAATATTTTAAGTAAATTACTGGAAAATATTTTTAATATTAATCAATTGCTGAGAAATATGATATTATTTGACATAATATTCTTGATTTTTTTAGATATAACAGAATTTTTAAAATATCTGATTCCAGCTTAATGTTACTGACAAGATGAGTTTTTATAAGTTCATATAATTTATATTGAATATTTGCAATCTTTTTTTATTTTAAATTTTGAATATTATTTTCAAGACTTAACTTATTTACATAATCTTTGATAGTATTAAAAATTGCAATTGGTAAATAATTTTGACAGTTCCTTTCTTGATCAAAATTTGAACAACTTCTAAATGTTTTAATTTATTATTTTCTTTGAGAGAATGCATATATTTTGCAAAATATTTAAAATTTTCTATTCAAATAATTTTAATAGAAACTAATCACAATATTTTAACAAAGATTAATTAGCTGAATTATTATCTTTTTGCATTTTTTAAGTGGAATTTCTTCTTTTTGTTCACTTGAGTTTTGATATTTATTTAAATAATAAACAAAAATTTTCAGAAGTTTTCATTATGAAATTTGCAATAATTAAATTATATCTAGATATTCAAAATTAAAGAGCACTAATTGTTGTTAAATTCTTCTTTAAAAAATTTAAATGAACTATTGATATCAAAAAAAGAATCTTTTTTCTTTGAAAGAAAGATTTAAGCTAGGAGTATTTGTAAAGAAAATGATAATAGATATAATAATAGTATTTGTTAAAAAAAAGTGCATAGTTAAAGAATTTATAATAAATAGTTAAAAATTTTATATTCAAGAGAAACTAACAAAAGTAAAACAAAAAGACTTGATCTATTAAAAAAGTCTTTCACATATATACTTTCTTTTTTGACAGATAAAAAAAGCTAATTACATCACATATAACAATGCATATTTCATGTGACACGCATGTGATCTAAATCACGTGAAAACTACAATGCTTTAGCCAACCCCCATTAATGGGAGTCACAATGTATATAAATAATAAAAATCGTAACTTTTCAACTTTTTTCAACATGTTCTTTGCGAAAAAATGTTTAATAAAGTGTCGTTCTCAGTATACTCGAGGGGTGGCAACTATAATTTACTGAAAAATTTTCGAACAGGGGGTCAATATACTAACCATAGTAGTAATTCACGTATTGGAGGCGTTTATACAAATGATTTTTCTCGAAAATTATCAAGTTATAATTTTGCAAAGAGATTTAGATATAATAATGGTACATTTTTGAATTTAACAATTAATTGATTTTTTACGTTGATTTTCGATCACAATTATGATAGGGTATGAATTAAAATTTTAATAATGATAAAGTTCATACGACCGCCAAAAAATCAATATCGAATCCTGGATTACCTAATACCAGTAATAGTGAAAAATTTCCAATACCAACATCTACCAAACTACCACCACCACCAGCCAATATCAATTTCGAAAACCAGGATAACAGTATTAATGCTTTATCAACAACGTCGACATCATCAATGAAAAAGAAAAGTTCCAATCCACCACTAGCTTTCCCATGTATCGATAAAATGGCAACACGTACCCGATCTCTAGACGGAGGTCCGGAACCAGCTTACGAAAAAATTGTAACTGGATATTCGGTTTATCATCATACCCTGCCATTCCTTTGTGATTATGGTGGGATATTGCCGGAACTTGATATTGCTTATGAGACATGGGGAGAGTTGAATGGTCGAAAAGATAACGTGATTTTATTGCATACTGGTTTGTCAGCGAGTAGTCATGCGAAAAGTCACGAGTTGAATGTTCATGATGGATGGTGGGAGAACTTTATAGGTGACTTTATACATTCTTAGTATATTTCATCACCTCAGATCAAGGTCATTAATTATCATATGCTTTTTCATAGGACCTGGTCTTTCGATCGATACCAACAAATTTTTTGTGATTTGTACAAATGTAATCGGCGGATGCTACGGTTCAACTGGTCCCGGTTCAATCGATCCATCTAATCAAGAGAGATACGCCACGCGATTCCCATTATTAACTATTTTCGATATGGTGCGCGCACAGTTTTTGTTGTTAGATCATCTAGGAGTGAATAAGTTGTATGCTAGTGTTGGTAGTAGTATGGGTGGAATGCAGGTATTTTTTTATACGCGCATCTAATTTGAATAGAGTGTGATATAGTGTGTAAAATTTAATTCTTTAGTCATTAGCAGCCGCGTATTTATACCCGGATCGAGTGACGCGTTTAATTAGTATTTCTGCGTGCGCTAGGTCTCATCCGTACTCTATTGCTATGCGACATACCCAACGACAAGGTTAGTATTATTAGTGAGTATAATATTGAATAAATATTTTAGATTTTTTATTTCTAACTACACTCTATCCATTCTTTAATTAAAGTCTTAATGGCTGATCTAAATTGGAATAAAGGTTTCTATTATAATGGAATCCCGCCTCATACGGGGATGAAGGTAGTGGTTATTTCAAATTTGTTATTATATTTGCTTCAATTTTAAAAAATAGTCAATCCATTGAAAATATTTCAATTTTAGCTTGCACGCGAGATCGCTACAATCAGGTGATTTAATCAATCCATCTTGAGCTCGTTATTTTTTAGGAGAAAATTTGCCTATATAATAATGCTAAGCAAGTTCTTTTTTCGCTCTGTTCATGCAATTCTCAAACTAGTTATCGATCTGGTCCAGAATGGGAACAAAGATTCGGGCGAAAGCGTGCTAAAGAGGATCAGTCACCTGCTTTATGTCCAGATTTTTTAATTGAAACTTATCTGGATCATCAGGTAAAGGTTTCATAGGATAGACTATTGAATAATAACTTTTCTAATTAATTTGAATATTAGGGTGAAAGATGGTGTTTACAATATGATCCAAATTCACTCTTGTATATATCCAAAGCCATGGATTTATTTGACATGTTTGCCACATCGTTAGATCGACTAAAACGTCAAAGGGAAGTCAATATTACCGGTTACAAAGATAATCCAGATACTTTTGCTACCACCATCGCAACGCAACAAAACAAATTGTCTCTTAACCAATATCCGCATTCATCATCAAATCGTCCACTACAAAAACACATCTCGTCGCTACAAACCACAGACACCGAAGAGCTCGAAGACCTTATAAACGGCTTATCTGCTATTCAGATTCCCGCGTTGGTTCTCGGCGTACAATCCGATATTCTATTTCCTTTCTGGCAACAGAAAGAAGTCGCCGAGTGTTTACGAATGGGTGGAAACAAGAATGTCACCTATTACGAATTGGATTCGATGTACGGTCATGATACTTTTTTAATTGATTTGACGAATATTGGAAGTGCAGTGAAGGGGCATTTAGAATTAGGTGGTTAGATGGATTTATTATTTGCTCTTGGATCAATTAATTATTTTGTGTGAATCCATTATAAACAATGAGGATATCTTTTCTCTAATCCTGATTTTGCTTCACTGAGTTTTTAGTTTTTTTTTTTTTTGCATATACATACACTTCGAAAAATTTAAAAGTACAAGAAAATCAAAATAAAAAAAAACAAGAGAAAATAATAATCTAAGTGTTGGAATTTGATGGAATAACCTTCAAAGAATTACCTGTAGTCAATCAGGAAAAATAGAGAATTAACAGAAATGAATGTTTTTTGTAAAACGCCAGCGTGATTAATTAAAAGAAAGTAATCAGACATCAAAGAAAAAAATTAAATCAAAAAAATAAATAAATTCTGCGTACCTACATAATAGTAGTGATAGTATTTTTTGTTCTATAGTGTTTTTTATTTGGTATTTTAATATATATAAAAAATGTACCAAAAAATATTTTTTTTGTAACGTATAACGAACCACCCATATTATTATTAACAATTATATTTCTTCATCTCCATCATGATGTAATGTTACTGTGTATATAAAAAAGTTAGTTGGCATTATAATAATGAAAAAGAATAAATAGCAAATAAAATTATTATAACATACCACTATTAAATTCCTCAAACGGATTCTCGCCATTAAGCTCAGTCATCACCGCCTCACCCTCCATATCAAGACTAATACTCTCCTGAATATTTCTAAAATTCACAGCATCAGTGCCATAACTTTGTGGCGGAATAATTGGCGGCGTGGCGTGCCGTAGTAACGCCCACTGTGTACTCTTGAAGAATGGGTGGGCTTTTACGTCCGAAGCACCAGCTTTTGAGCCTAGCCGTCGGTTCTCGTCTTTACATAGTAGTTTACGAATTAAACTTTTGCACAGACTATTTGTATTTATTATAATTTTGTTTCTATTCAATTGATTGTTTGCACGTAAGTCAAAAATAAGTATGCGGGTGAAAATGAAAATACTTTGACACTGGCACGGATCCAGCCGGTTCTGGGAAATATACATCATTTTTTAATATATTTGAAAAAGTTGCATTACGGCTCTGTCCCTTGAATGGAGTGATTCCATACTAGTGATGAAAAAAAAGAATTTGTTTGGTTGTGAGAAATAATTCGAACAAAGGGTAATAGATATTTCATTAATTAAACGACATACCAGCATTTCGTATATTAAAATTCCAAGTGTCCACCAATCAACAGCACTTGAATGACCATACCCCTTTATCACTATACAATAAGCAAAGAATATTAATGAGAGATAATTGATGATTTTATATATTCAAATAAAAAAATACAATGTACCTTCTGGAGCGATGTATTCTATGAAAAATTCGTATTTCAAATTTTTTTATTAAAATAAATATTCCATCGAAAATAAATGGCTTTAAAAGCAGATTTACTCACCCTCTGTGCCCACAAAAGAATTAGTACGCAAATTAGCTATGCATGATTTAGTGTCTATAGATGGAGGCTATTAATCATTCCAAAATAGTAAGGTAAAGAAAATAATAAGATAAAATAAAATAGAAAAGATAAACTCTTAACGCGCAAAAACACATACCGCATTCCCTGAGCTATTTTTAACTATGCATGGCATGTTTGCAGGATGTGATTGTTTTGAAAGATCAAAATCTATTATAACCATTGAGAATTAATGCACAATGGTAATTTCTTGTATAAATCGAAGTATTTTCATACCTGAAAGCATGATATGTCCTGATTGATGCAACAATATGTCTAAGTTCAAATTTAAAAATAAATCAGAATATAATAATTTGATGACAAGCGTTGTCGAATAATTGTAATAGTTTCTCACTTTCAGGCTTTAAATCCCGATAAATAAATCCCATCAGATGCAAATATTCTAATGCTGCGATGACTTCTGCAGCGTAAAATTTCGCATCTTCTTCTGCAAGACATTTTCCGGGTCGTGTCTGTAATGCTACAGAATTACATAAAATTGTAAACTTGAAATGATCGATAATCGACGTGTGACATCACTACCTTAATATTTTTTTCTCACCTCGAAAAAATTCACCTCCCATGCAATATTCCATACATAAATACAAATATTCTTCGCTTTGAAATGAATGATACAATGTTACAATAAACGGATGATTGGAAGTTGCCAATATTTCCTGTGCATGAATTAGATTCTTTGATTAATATACAATTGACAAAGCTATCAAACAAAAAAGAAATCAGAAAAAACCTGCTCTGCCAGTGCACGTTTAATTTTATTTCTTTTGATCATTTCCTTTTTAGACAAGACTAATAATTTTAAAATCATTAAAAATCAACCCGTAATAAAAATAAATGCAGACAGGAAAAAAAATAATTCATTAAAACAAAACCTTTCATTGCATATAATTTTCCCGATTTTTTCTCAGTTACCAAATAAACTTTTCCTACGTCACCCTTCCCGAGTAATTTAACCTTTCGAAAACTGCTTGGTCCAACTTCAACACTTTTAACTTTAATAGAATTTGACGAATAAGTACGTCTGAATGTCCCAGAGCGTTTAAACTCTGATATTGGTCTTGGTATCGGGGGAACAACTAAGCTATTGTTAGTGTCATTTGAATGATTATACAGATCAATTGCACTCCCACTATAATGTTGATGTTGTGGAGATTGTAACTGATTTGTTGATTGGTCTAATAAGACCTCTGATTTCTCATTAGGTGATTTAGTATCCGGTGCCGATGCTACTCTACGTAATTTCTGGTTATTTCCTTGATCTTTTAAGAACCAAGAAGGTCCTAATGTTTTACTTTTCTCATTGGATTTAAAAATTGTCCCATTTAATTTATTATGACTATTATTATGACCATTGACGCCTAGAATCTTTTCATTGGTGCTCCTATTAGTAATCGTGCTATTTAATGATGTCGACGAACCAAGCTCATGGACAGAATTAATGCTACCATTCATGCCTAAAGATCCCTCTTTCTTCGAACTGCTGCTACTGTTATTCAATCGAAAAAATGATTTTAATTTGGACGGTAAATGCGACATGTAAGAAGGTGCAGGACTCGCAATGATTCCATGGTGAGCGCCGGAAGACGACGAAGACCCGTAAGGAATGTCAGCAAGCATAGATTCCGGTTCGACTAAAGACAAAGGTTCAGCTGTTATTCTTCCTTCGTTTAGTTCTATATTATGAAAATGTTCAATGCTTGTTGGTGAGCCTGCCAGATTACTATTATTACTACTACTACTACTACTACTACTACTGCTACTATTATTTACTCCAAGAGAGACTGGTTGGAAATGCTCAAATGAATTATTCGTCGTCTGAATTGTGACGGTTGATTGATTTTCTATGGTAAAACTAGTGTCCATACTAGTTTGAGTAGAAACTCGATCAACGATGGAGGCACATATATTTATTTATTCAAATGGACACGTTCTCCACTAATTAATGGTAAGGGCACAATGGGTATTTTTTTTTGAAAACTTGAAAGTATGGGGAGTATTTCCCCTCAAGCAGATTTATAGTCGTTGAATTCTAATTAATAAGCACTCACGAAAATTTTGGCAGATGCCAGAGTGGCCAGAAAAGATAACTATATTTTAAAGCTTGAAAGATCCACTATACGTACCAGTACAGTATATGTGTGTATATGATTATATAAAATAATTTTTAACTAATTATTTATCTAACTATTCGATTATTATCTTGATTGGACGAATTGAAAACATATTTTCGAAGAAGTAATAATTTTCGTTGTTTAACATCCAGGGTTGTGATGCTCATTCTACGTAGTTTGTTTTTTAAAATCTCCTTAATTGATAACTGGCTCGTTTCTCCTTTCCTCCGAATTTCAAATCTAAAATGTTTAGATCATGTGCCTCCCCATTGTAATGTAAACTTTACTATTTGATTGGATGCAGATAAATCCCATCGCTAATTGGACGAGATTGATTACGTCATATTTGCATGTATGATTAACCACCCCATGAAGGTAGCCAGGGTCAGAAATTATATATAAAATTATCTCCATGACATTTTTTATTAGTACACCAAGCTACATTTAAGCATGATTCCTATTTTTCGCATTTTTCATTGGATTTGTTTATCAAAAATTTGTGTATCCTTATTGGTTTAGGGAAGGGCTCACCCCCACCTGACATGTTATACAATATTATTTATATTGCTTATGTAATCATCGTTGACCCCCTCTTCCCCCAAAAAATCAGGTGATAAAAGTCACTTTCCTTATGCAATATTACGTGATCGATACATCAACCAGAACTTGGGGCATTACCAATTTGGTGATTGAAGATGTGATTGACTGTATATGATAGTCACGTTTAACAAAAATGTAGTGATTTAGTAGGAATTATTGAAAAATTGGATTTATTCAAAAATCAATTACATGATCATAATTTAACCATAAAACCTTACCTACAAAATTGGATAGGTCTAAATTTATGCAATGTCACTATTCTTTTTTGATCACCATATTCTGCTCAAATTCCCGCAAAAGTTTAAAATCTTCCATGTAGGCAACAATAATATCACGATGAATCTTTCATTTTATTTAATTCAATTCAATGAATAAGGATCAATGAATAAGGATCAATGAATAAGAAAAACGATTAAATGAGAATATAACATACCAGAGTAGGCGTTCGCTGAGTAACCTTTATATTTTTTGCGCGATAAGATTTTCTTCGACGTTTGTAGTCTCGTTGTTCTGCCAACAACTCTTCACGAGATTTTGATCCTTGATTTTGTTCTGGATATGATGATTCAAGTTAAAAATCCTTATTGAGATAAATTGCTACGCAAAAAAAAGATTGCGTCTATAAAATTTCCAACGACAAAACCTTTAAACTTTTGAAGATTTTCCCAAACTTCATCAAAGTTCTGATACACATCGTGTTTTTGTCGATCGTGATGCGTTAATCGTATTTGATTAGAGTCCGAGAGATCTTTCAAGTATTCTGAGAGGCGTTGTTCCACAGTCAGGCTTTGACCAATGTGTGGAGCAGCCCTGGTGGCTCTTCGTGATTCGTCTAGTTTTTATGTGAACGTAAAACATGATATTACTTTCGCTATCAAACTAAAGATTTTTCAAAGACGAATGTTCAATTCTATTCTCCTCTACAAAACCTGTTTCTAAAAGTGATATGACTGATGGCGCATCCTTATAGTAAAAAGTTGAACTAGGCAATTGACGCTGCTTGAGGAAACGATAAGTGTTATTATGAGTTGGTTTTCATCCGATCCGATCAATATAACAAATATTTGTACCACGCCGCGTTCTTTCTTGATCCCATGATACTTTAGCTCGCAACGTTTATAATGCGCTTCGTAACTTTTATTTGGCACTTTATGAGAAGCGTCGAATGGACAAATAACCCAATTTTGGGTTTCCTATAAAAATTTAAGTGTATAATTCATTCTTTTTCCTAATTCCTCTATATCTATGTCCAAACACAACTATGCAAAAACATGCCTGCCCTCTTTAATTAAAAAACGAAGAAGGCACACCTCCTCCCGAGATTTCAGAAATTCTCTGGACCAAGAAAGCTCTTTTAATAGCTTATCTAACTTTTGATCATAGTCGTCAAGTTGTTTTGTTAGTTCGGTTATATAAGAATCACGGTTATTATCCTCATGATTGATGGTGGTAGTCAGTGAGGTGGAGGGTTCAGACATGTTAATTATACCTTCGTGGTTTGTTTGCATACTAAAAAAAATATTACATGCTAAACTCTAACTAGATCACGGGCACGTGGAAAAGTTATAAAGATGCTTCAATCAAATTTTGAATTCTCAACTCTCCATCTTTACAATGGTTTCCATTACATTATGTTACATGGATTTTGTAATGTAAACTCTCTATATATATGTCGTGTCCCCAAATCAAAATCGGTTCAAATTAGAATAGGAATATGATCATCCAAGATTTCTCATATATTCTTATTAATTAATTCAATTTTATAAGGGACATGACATATATGAGCTTATTATAAGAGGATATAACAAGTGTCGATCACGTGATCTGAGATAAGTTCATTAAAATATTTGATTAATATTAAATATCAAGTATTAGGGTTAAAGTTAGAACTGAGATCATGATTATATATAAAATTATCTTCTCGACATTTTTGATAATGTGCCAAGCTAGATTTAGATATTTGTTTTTGTCTTTTTTATATTTTTTGTATTTTTTATTTTCTTATATTAAACTTATTTTGTTAGATCGATCAAAAATTTGCTATATTTCTATTGGTTGCACAGAATTTTTGCGCATTCTTATTGGTTGGATATCACGTGACTAATATTTTCTTTGTCATGGCTAGAATATTAAAGAGAATATATTTTAATTAATAAAAATTTAAATTAAATTTCAAGTTTTTTATTTTTTATTTAGTTATTGTTATAATATGATTAGATAAAGACTGAGTTAATATTTGATAAAAACTACTTTTATTGATAATTTTACATGAAATCTGTACTAATTACATGAAACTTAGTTTTTTATTGATTATGTTAATAAAATCTATAATAACTGTATATATATAAAAACTTACTTTATGTTATTCAGATACTAATTATTATCAAATTTATATATAATATTACATTTTTTAACTCTTTGTTAAAATATATAACATTTCTAGATCATCTAATTAGTATTTATAAAAAATATTGACTTTTATATACTGTTACCGTTTTGATGAGGCTTTCGAAATACTCAAAAGTATTTATAAAATTTAAGGAATATTCAAAGGGGAAACTTCCAATGTCTTAACGACAATTTAAAGTCTAATAATACTTTATGGCTTTTAGACTGAATATGAATTAAAGTACGACAAGTACTTATAGAATCACTTAAAG